CCCTTCTTCATTTTTCTGAAGAAGGGTCCAGACCCGAAACGTCAGCTTTCCTGCTCCTCTGATGCTGCCTGGCTTGCTGTGTTCATCCAGCTCTACACCTTGTTATCCCTAATCCGCAATGATGAGATTAGAGGTTCCCTTCTAATAATGTCCCCTGAAACACCCACAGAGGCTCGCCTTTCCCCTTGTAATCTGTTAAAAGAGTGGTTAAAAAAAATGAAAATCCCTGATCTACTTTATAAATAACAAGAAAAAATTTACTTATTTAGCTCTAACAATCAAGAAATTAATAGAATTACTAACAAACTGAACAATTCCCCCTTCAACTACTAATTACTTCCTGACTGTTTTAAATTCTATTGGAATGCTGTTCGAATAAACACAATTCACACTTGTACAAACCCAGTTAATAAAAAAAGCAATAAATTGAAACTTAATCTCTCCAAGTTTGCATAGTCTATGCCTTTGCCGCTTTATCTCTAATCTTCCTTCCATTGATCTCATGTCACAAAAGTCTTTCTACTGATGATTCTGATGTCTTGGATGTTTTTCTCTTCAATTTCTTCAGTGAGGACTTTGTGTTAAAATGCCAAGGTACCTTTGATGGATCTTTTCAGACAGCTCAATAATTTTATGTGAAAACCAGGTTTGTATCTCAGACAGCGAACTTGCTTTCGCTGCAGCTCAAGTTTGGCTATCCCCTCAGATGGCAGTTGGCTCTTTCCTGATTTTCCAAATACCCTCCTCTTTATACGCGTAATGACATAATAGTATTTCTTATGTCGGATTGGTTCAATGTCATCAACACCATTGGTTTTTAAATTCAATTGGCTCTGAATCGCTGAGTGCTTGGTTGAAATTTATTGGCCAAATTCAAACTTGTTGTCTTGGTAAAAATACTGCTTGGTTGTTGGATACAAAATGTTTCAATTCAGGCATTCCCTATGCACAGTACTTGTAAACACCCAAGCACAGACAATGCACAATCTCTTAAAGGGTCCAGGCACTCTTTTTCCCCATAATCATCTTTTTAACCAGCTATTCTAACATCCTGCCTTCCAATTCATGAAAACTGTACCCAACTTTGTAACAATTATCATCTGCTTTTGTTCCATACCTTCTGTTCTTATTAATCCATTTACAAAGGGTATTGAAAATGGATTAACTGGATGTATTTGGGGCTGAAAAGTATCGTGTTAGAAATCATGATCAATAAACAACAGCAACAAGTTAACTAGAACACAGAAGATCATTTCTGAGTCAGGAATTAAATACCTAATGGTTACAGTGAAAGGGACATATCTGCATTCTTGCAATAGTGCTAACATAAAGGGAGACCTGTTAAAACAGCATCAAACAACATTTGCTGTTGCTGTAACTGACACACCTCCTCTGCAATGATTCACTGTGCAGAATCTCACCTCATAAATGTGACCTAAATTCCCACTTTCCCTCCATCTGTCCATTTTGTTTCTTCTGCATTGTCCAAAGAAGCAACTATTGCTTTCACAAATTCTTCCATAAATCAGAGGAAAATACCAGTGAAATTCAAAAGGAAGTCCACAAACATTAGTTAAAAAAGGAAAATGAAATCTTTTCAACAATTAAAACATAGGATCCATTTGTTCTACTTTACAAGACACAGCCTCAGACAGACTCAATGACATAAGATCAAGGTATCAAAGCTTTAGCTGGCTCTCAAAAAATGCAACTTTCCATTTAGCCAGTAGAGGGTAGTCACAATCTGCTGATTCCCTGACATTATTTGATTTATATGTTTTAAACTATGTGCATAATTGCAATGCAACCATCTCAGTCAGCAATTAAATTTTGCTACTAATTACATTGGCTTTTGAGATTCATGACCACAGAATGGTGTTACTGGCTCAAATTTGTTCTTGCCTGCGTTGTTCATTACTGAGTTTTCTTTTGTTTCCTAGACAACAGCTGCATTTAAATGTCCTGATAGCCATGGAGATTGGATTAACTCGGAAGTCTTTCAGAGCTAACCACCCAAACACAGACTAATTGAATCATTCTGTGACCTAATGGATGCCTTTGCCTATAACTACAATCCCCACTCCACATTCATCAATATATTGCATGTTAGTATTGTCTAGCAACAGATTGGATGCTGAACTAACTGTGTTAAATCCAACAAGACTCCATCACTCTTGTGGAGTTCTTTGTCTTCAGGTGCTAGACTCCAACTTGGCACATGATCAGCCATTGCAATGATTCCTCTACAGTTATGAAGTTGGATGGGAGTATTTGTGGACTGGAAGGCAGGATGCTAGAATTTGATGTTTGTAAAATGATAAGGGGGAAGAGTGTGTGGTCCCTGTAAAAGATTATGTGTTGTTTTTTTCTATGTTTGGAGATTTTTAAAACATGTGAATGTGCACAGAGAGCTCCCGAAATTGAAACATTGAATCTAAAGGCTGATGGTTAGAAATCAAGGCAGTAGTCTTGTTTTGTTAGCAAGGCAATCAGTTTGAATCAACCAATTAATTTAAACCAGGCCCTGGATACCAAAACCTAATTAAATTTAAATCTGATAGTTTTGACAACATAGGACCAATCCTATTTTAAGAAATTAATAGGTCATCAAGGGTATAAAAGAAGAGAGCATTTGAAAATTAGCGTGAGAGTAACTGCCATCTGTTAGGAGAACAGCTCTCAACAGCCATTAGCTCTAAAGAAAGCGAAAGTCATTGGCTCTCACAGAAATCTCCAAGCTCTCAGAGTAAGCACCATCTAAATAAAGGTAATATGGCACTCTTAGCTAATATTCCTGACACCAGAATTCCACGGAGAAAGGCGTTCTTGACTGGAGATCAGTGGAGAAGGCAAAGAACATTCTGGAAGACTTAACCTGGCTGTAATTTTGAGAGATTAAGTTTTAATTTATTTTTCTTATTACTTTGATTTATATAAGTGGGACTTATATTTATTGGAACAGCACACATTAGAACTTTGTTTTATTCAGGAATAGTTAGTAGTTAAGGGTGAATTGTTTGGTTTGTTAGTAGTTCTGTCAATTTGTTTACTGTTAGAGTTGGATAAATAAATTGTTACCTATTGATTATAAATGAGTATCAGGAATTTCTTTCATTTAACCAATCCTTTTAAACAGATTACGAGGCGAGGCTAGTTTCTCTGGTTGTTTCGATTTTAGTTATCAAAGAGGGGTTGATCTCTGCTTTGTAACACTACTGAAGAAATGCTACTTAACGATGTGTATTTATCAGAATTAGGCTTTTGCATATAGGCATAGATTAAAAAAAGACTTGATTGTTGAGATGTGTTAGGACCTCTATGTTAACTTGTGGCTGTCTGAGTAATCTCACAGTGAAAGTTGATATATTGAATCTTTGCTAATGACATCAAGCTGCAGCACAACAGTGGCTGACCAAAAAAAAACATTAGGGGATAAAACAGAAACTAAGTCGGACCACAACATCTGAAAAATCTTGGTTTAAGGGGTTAGAAAACGATTATCCACCATGCACATAGGAGATCTCAGAACTTCTACATAGACCATAAAGTTTTAGGTAGTGTAGATAGTACCTCAAGCTCTACTGGCAAAAAATCAATTTTAAGCGAGATAAGATTACATTCATGAAATAAAAGGTCAAAATGAATTTTAAGCATTCAAAGAAAACCTTGTAATCTCAAAAACAGGCTACATGAGGCTGCTCAACGACTGCAAACCACCAGTGGAACATTAGCCAAGGAGAATCAGACTACGAAGCCCAAATTGCATCAAGCCAGTATTGAGAATTCAAAGGTTACCAGTCTGTGGAAAAGCAAGCTGGAGTCTACAATTGATTCTTATCAGTAAGCCATGGGCAGACTGAAGGTCTGTTTCACTAAACAAGCAGGGGGCCAAAATACAGAGTTTCTAGATCTGAAAGACGTCTTAGAAAAGCTTAAAGCTTTAAATCAAACAAGATTTGAAAACTATATGAAGAAAACAGAAGAACTAAAATCCCATTCATCAGTAGCTCATACATCAGAAATGCTGCAGCACAAACTGTGAAGATAATGCAATAGAGAATCAAATAAATGCCACATTGCAGCTAAAGAGATTAAAAAGACACCAGTGGAAAATATTGGCCACAGAACAAGT